TTAAAACAAGGCTCGCTGTGGTAACTTTAACTGGGTAATGTTACCAGCGTGTCAAAATACAACAGCATGCCTAGCAAACATGTTACTGAACAACTAGCCTTAAACAATGAGCAATATTTGGCGATAGCATATTTGCCAACATAGCATTAGGCAATGAGATTGAAATAAGAAAGTTAGCTTAGCTTCGTGAAGACATTCAGAGATGAAAAAAGGGCGAAATGGCCAGTTGTTACGTGGATGCTTTAACACTTCTTCATATCTTGCTTTTTCCAGAGGGGAAAGCAGATCTCACGTTAAAGTGTTGTTGATGCAGTCACATTAGCACAACTTCAGCGATGAATTGCGGGCAAAGAGTCTATGTCAATTGTGAGAAGCAGTGCTCGGCTCAGGTCACTTGCAAGTCTATCTGCTTATCAATCAATCAACGCGGCGAGTTTGCTTTCAAGTTCACAAACTTGAATCTGGTGAGATACTCTGTGGGAAACGAACCCTTGTTGCAAAATTCCTTACTGAACGCTTCCTGTAGAGATGGAATTCGCCATCTGATTAGCTCCTGAGCAAAGCGATAGCTACTGAATAATGACTGAAAGGACCTTATAAAAGGGAATTATGATTGGCGTCGTATTCCTATGGGTAGACGTGGATCAGCTGAGTGTCAGCTGATGCGAGCTTGACTAACGTGGCCTGCCAGAACAAACGCTAGGCTCCATTAATCTGTTGAGGATACAGAAAAACCCATGCATGACAAGAGTCAGACTCATTGATGTAATCCTATTCTTTTATAGATTTACCATGTTAGACTCAAACAGAGAAAGACTATGTCATCATTGCTGACATAAACTGGTCAATGCTGAATTTTAACATTGCCTCTCAGCAGAAGTCAGATGACATTTATGTCAGGTTGTGATGGAGGAGGCATCCATCTATTTCAAATCGAATGCCTCCAGATCCAACCTCAGAGAGCTCAAAATAACCATCATGTGACACACGTGACTCATGCATGTGGTTCTTTCTAACGTTAAATAAATTGCTTTAAGCACACATACTGTATTTTAGTGCAACAAACTGTATTATTCAGTAAGCACCCACAATCAATTTAACCAGCTGCTAAATGTGCCGAGATGGCACTGAATATTCAAATGAAGTCAGTCATTTTCTCAGCACAAATTTGCCTCTTTCTATGCAAATTAAGCTTGTTATAAATGTGTATTACTCACAGAATTCAGAACTGTTTGCCCGGTGAAATTAATGTCACACTATTTCCGCCCGCAGACAGCAGCAGCAAATTGAATTTTATTTAAGAGATGTTTATTTACATTTTCTATCGATTTTAAGCCGATTCCGGTGCCTGGATCGCAGTGACGCTGTACAGTTCCAGTAAAGTATGCCAGATCACGGCAGCCGTTGCATTCTCCACTCACAACCCAGCACTGTCGATTAAAGAAAGGATGATATAAACCTTTGCACCACTTATCCAAAACACAGATCAATGACACCATCCTGCTGTGTCATGGTGCCTTAGTAATTCAGATTAATGTTTTATTAATGGAGAACTGTTCAGCAGACCCCTGACCGCGAATGGACACCAAGAACCTATTAAACTCACATTCCAGCACCATATCTGTTCAACACAAGTACGTACGTTTAGCCTTGTAAAGTAATGAGACTAAACTTGCAAAGAATGTTGAATAGATATTGTACTGGAATGTGTAAGGCTGTAGGGCTAAAATAGAAATGATTGCAGTATTTATTTTAGTTTTTCCATGAAACAAACAAAAATAAGATTTCTTTTATTTTATTATTTCAACTTCATTGCATTGATTTCAGCATATCAGCTATTTTCCCATGAAGTAAAAGTGGGAACAGCATTTTACTTTCAGGTTCCAAAAAGGACAAGAGCACCATAAAAGGTATCATAAAAGTGGCTATATATTCCTGAAGCCATATAATAATTTTATGGGACGAGCAGACAGAAATTAATGTCATTTTCCTTAAAAAGCCTCCCCTCTCCCAAAACATTCAATCAAGATTTCAAAAATATCTATATGTTATATTATATTATATTACAATTAGTGCTGTCAAACGATTAATCGCATCCAAAATAAAAGTTTTTGTTTACATAATAAATGTGTGTGTACTGTGTATATTTAATATGTATATATAAATACACACACATGCATGTATATATTTCAGAAAAATATGTTGTTTTATGTTATTAAATATATTTACATATAATATAAATTAATGCATGTAAATACATGTAAATATTTTCAAAATATATACTGTATGTGTGTGTGTTTATATATATATATATATATATATATATAAACACATAATAAATATACACAGCGCACACACACATATATTATGTAAACAAAAACTTTTATTTTGGATGTGATTAATCGCGATTAATCGTTTGACAGCACTAATTACAATGCAGTTGTACTAGTATATTTATAATATATTATGAAACATATTTTTGAACCGTTTAAACACCGGCAGAAGGTTTAATGGGTTCTTCTGCACTCAGGTGGCAATCTCGCACAAGCAGCTTTTCAGCATTATAGCACAGTCTATACAGTGAAGTTTCCTGTGCAACACTGATGTGTAACTCTGTGACAGTATAAACTTTTCAGCACTGCACTCACACTGAAATCTTCCACCACGTCACATACATTTAATTGCTGTGAGCCTCGGGCACGGTCTTGTATGAGGATATCACTGTTGACATTTATTTTGACAGGCTCAGAGCGTAATGCCATCAAATTATGAATCAACGCTTACTAAATAATTCAAAATTTGTCATGGACTGAACACATGAAGGAAGCATCTTCATCCTCATTTCTGTATTTTGACAACTAGAGAGGAATGGCGAGTGATTTACAGCAATCCCTCTTGTGTTAACTGGGAAAGATCATTCTTCTATGGTATTGATGGATGGCACAGTATACTCTATTGGTTACAGGGGTCAGCTACAGCTGCCAATAAATTTGAAGAGCACTTAAATGGAGTGCAGGGACAGCCAGTAAAACACACCCATCTGCTGCCCACATCAGTCATTTTTATATCCTAGTCTTGGTGCTTTTTAACCTTTCTGAATTAATCCTGCTTCCTCTTGGCTGCAATATTATCATTGAATTGATACGCCACTCTGTAAGTGATAGGAACATGTTAGGTCATTAAGTTAAGTGAAAACTAAATCAAAGATTAGCCAGAGATCTCTAGACCAATGGGAAGAATCCAATGGTTTTTGTAGAAAACAGTACATTTATTTCTCAGTTTCTAAAAGAAGTGTGCCATGATATTAGTGAGGATGAAAATACTTTTTTTTTTAAACCTATGATTCAAATGTAAACACGGAGAGAAAAAACAAACAAACAGAAAACAATGATTTAAAAAGTAAAACAAACAAACATTATGAAGTTTTTTTTTTTTACATGTGTGCATTTTATATCAGATTTTTAAATCAATAATATCAAATCAATGTGTTCAATTGAGAGTCAAATGACTGTTTAAATGTAAGCAAAAATATTAAAGGGGTCATATGATGCGATTTCAATTTTTCCTTTCTCTTTGGAGTGTTACAAGCTCTTGGTGCATAAAGGAGATCTGTAAAGTTGCAAAGACTAAAGTCTCAAATCCAAAGATATAATCTTTATGCAGCTGAATTGATATACAGTATATATAAATTTGGCGTATATGATTTGGTGAATATTGACATGTAACAGTGACTAGATTTTACTGAAATTATACTCAAATTGAGTCCAGTACACTTATATAACAGTTCCTCATTTACCTTCAGATTCTGTCAGATTTTGTTTTCTTCATTATGAACAACACTTTTGCTCAAACCACTGACAGTCTTACAGGTTCATTAGCTTTAAATTCATCCGTGCTGCAATGACGGGCCTGTGGGTGGATTGCTCATTGATTTTAATAGCCGTAAGTGATCCACAGACACGTTCCAATTTAATGATACAATACGCTTGCATGTGGGAGGCTTGTACTCCCTGCTTGTTGCCTTCTCTCTTAACACTTTTTACAATGCGTTTCTTGTGAATACCTGCTGCACTGGTGCAGCCCATCCCTGAGGCTGTTTATGGTGTAATTATGAAGCTGTCCTTTGACATGTCTGAACTGATTTTGTGGTGGTAGTGATATAAAATGTATTACTAGTTGGCTTGCAAAAAGGACTATAACTCTTGGTTAATAAGGCTGGAAGTGTGTTTTGGTGTTGTGGCTCTGTTGATGTGGATTTAATCAGCAAATACAGAATAAAAAAATGACATAAATAATTCTCCAAAAAGGTGACTTTACTCACAGTTGATGCCAATAGAGTTTAGCATGGCGTTAAGCTAATGATCCGCCCATCAGGAACAAAGCGGGACACCTTTCTGTACTCAGCATGACACCCTAATAAGCACGAAAATCAATTATTAATATGCAAATAGATGTATGAATAAAGATGAGTTATATTCAATATGCAAATACTGATGACATCATTCCAGTTTAATATTTTTAAGTATGATAGATAGATAGATAGATAGATAGATAGATAGATAGATAGATAGATAGATAGATAGATAGATAGATAGATAGAATTTCCATTTTCATTTGACAATAATTATATACAATTATTAAAGTAATAATAATTTTTTTGTAATTTTAAATAAAAAATATTATATATTTGTCACGTTTTTGTTCATCTTTGCTGAAAAAATAAATAAAAATTTGAAAAAATAAACAAAGCATATTCCAAATTTAAAATATATTTTGTATAAATTTTGAATGAATTTCTATCTGTTATTCTTTCATTTAAACCTTTAAGTGTGTGTATATAAATATATATAAAAATGTAAAATGTAACAAATTGTGTGTGTGTGTGTGTGTGTGTGTGTATATATATATATATATACACATACATATATATAAGAAGAAACCCGAAGCAGGAATATTAAGATTAATATGGACTTTCACTATAAAAATCTTAGATTAAAGTCTTAGATTATCTAAATGAAACTATCAACAGCTGTTTGACCTCACAGACCTTTTGTCACGACACACCCATGACCTCCGAGAATTAATAATGCTCCCAAATGCTTCTGCATTCATTCCTCCCACATTTAAAACTCTTTGCCTCTGTTCTAAATGTCAGAAATAATTCATGGAACAGCTGATGCTGTTTATTCACTTACGACTTAAGCCTTTAAAACAGCGAGAGAATAACAACACTTGCAGGTACTTAGCGTCGTTTGAGCCACATCAGCAGCCGAAACAGATGCTGGGTAAATGAAGATAAAACCAGACGCAGCTGAGAAAGGGGTTTGTAATGGGTGATCAACGGCTGGATTTGCACAAGGTACTGCTCTGAGACCCACAGTCAGCTCAGTAATTGGTGCAGAACAAAGTACCTTTTGCAAGTGCATCCAGCTAATTGAATGGAAACGGGGAGCATATGGTACCTGATAGTGCTGTACTATGAAGTATGATGCATGCCACTTCATTGCACAATAGATTGGCGAGCAGAAGATTCCCTAGATAAACACCTTTCTGAGGTTTTGTGTTTTCATTTTTAGATTCCTGACATTTGCAACAGTGTTTTTTTTCTGTCTATATCCTTGTGACACACCATTCCTATTAAAAACAACTGATGAAAGCAGCATTTTCTGATGTAAGAAGAACTAAGGCAGTCATTTTATTAGTGTAAACTTTTAAAAGTAAAGGTTCCAAAATAGGGTTTTCACAGTAATTCTACTGAAGAACCGTTTTGGTTCCCCAAAGGACCTTTCAGTGAGCAGTACTTAAAAGAACCATTTTTTTCTCCTTGTGAAGAACACTTTAATAATCTACGGAACTTTTTTTCCTCTATAAAGAACCTTTTGTGCTCCAGGGATGTTAACGATTTTTCATCGAACCATAAATGCCAATACAGAACCATTATTTTTAAGAAAGTAGCGCTTTTACACTCTGTGTTATTACAAAGCAGCTTCACAAAACATAATGCATTAATATCTTAAGTAGTGGGGCATTAAACATAGGAAGAAAAATAATGACGTGCCAAATTTAGGACCATTAACACCATCCTACATCTTAAAGTTTCAGTGTTTGAGATATTTTAGAAGGACAGATGGAATACAGATGATCTTTAGATGAGATAAAGCCTGACTGCCAAAGATGTAGTCCATGATCCTCGCTCTTTTAATTGGTGGCAGGATTAAGTCATTTAGCCCTTAGTAAAGGTCAGCACTCTCCAAACAGGCAGTGGACGAGAAAGGTAAATGAAACCTTGACCTGCACAAATGAAGTCAGATCAGATACTGAGCTCAGAGACATGACCTTTAACTCCGTTACAAACGGTGAGTGGAAACATGACGTTTAATGCATGGTTAAGACTCTGTCACAACAAACTCCTTAACTTGAGC